TATACTCTGTAGCCAAGCCAAGCCAAACTCTGTAGTCAAAAGGATTTATTAATACATCCAAAATAACATTCCAAATCTATGTTTACAAAAAAAAAAAAAAAAAAATCCAATGGCTTTTTTTATTTTCATTTTTCTGATCATTGGAAACATATTTTCAAATCATACTAGTGACTATTTTCAGTGACTATTTACAGAGAGCTTGCTTTGCAAAAAAGGCATTAACTGCCAAACTACACATTTAGCACAGATAGGGCTAAGTTACTTGGTGACTATAAACCTTTAACATCATCCAATACAAGGAATGCTTTTAAAGAATCACTTAGGCTTCACCTGTTAATACCTGTTGCTCTTCCAGAGCACGGAGGTTCTCTGCAATTTGCTGTGCCGCACAGCACAGTATCTTGCATTTTGGCAAGAAGAAACTTGGGAAATCTGCTGTTCCACAGACCTCTGTTCTCACTACTGCTTAGCCTTTCTAACATGACTGCACTGGCAGCTTTGCATGCACCACGTAAACCTACAAGCATCTCCCCTTTCCACATGATATAATGGGTATCACCTCACTGAACATCCCAGGCACTGCAGGGAGCTTGCTGCTGTACCCTGCTAGCAAGGAGGCACAGCAAAGCCTTCCCTCCTCAGCCTCATCAGGACACCCAACATTCACAGAGGCACTGGAGGGGCAAGGTGGCAAGTACAGCACTACCTTCTCTAGGCTCCATAGCTCGGTGTCCAGAAGAAAGGGCTACACTCACTCATTATCCTATGCACTTGAAATGACCAAGGGTGACTGCCTGGGATGTATGAGAGGCTCGAAACATTAACCAGCGGGGTCTCCTTCTTGCCTAGCATATAAGCCTTCTTTTATAAGGACTACAGTCACCTAATGATGGTCTGTCTTCATGGGTGACATCATTAGGAAATCCTTCTCCTCCTTCGTTCTGTACATCTCCTCTTGGATTACAAGATGCTCTGTCTAAAACCTCTCTTGCCTATATGTTTAGAAAGGATTGCTACCCTATGACAGAGGTGTTGGCCAGGAATACTGCTAGTAAACCATCTTCATACAAGAGCCAGTGATCCTATAAAAGCTGAAACTATCCAGTCACAATGCAAACTGTAGTCATAGTAATTTATAAAAAGGACAACCATTAAGCATACAGAGCTTTTAGTCTTATTCCATGCTTGAATAAGAAAGAGTGACAAAAGCAAGACAGATTTAACAGCTTCCTTCAAGAATACTACCAATTTATGTTAAAAAAAAAGTCATTAAAACAAGTAGATTGATCTTGCAACTAAATGGATGGACCTCTATCATCATCATCAGATGCGTTAGAATTCATTTTCCTTACGCAGATCCACAAAGCAAAACTCTCTTCTTGCTCCTCTGAGAGAAGAACTCAAGATGACCAGGAAAAATCTGCTTGGCATTGGATTTGGTCACTGTTGGTGGCAGTTCCAGCACTGATAGAGAACTAATAGAGGAGCAGCTATCAAAAACGATCTCCTGGATCTCACAGTTTATTGTTCAAAAATAGCCAAGCCTAGTACTAAAGCCCCTAACAGGCCAGTTTAAACTTTGGATAAACCATGCCCTCATTTTCATTCAGGTATCTTTCCCATCCTTTTGCACAGATTAATCATGGCCCAGCTGCATATGGCTCCCTGCTGAAGGATACAGGCTGCCAGGAGCTTTCTGGCAACAGACTAACTTGATGAGTTTCCTTCAGGTGTGTTCAGGAAAAACAAAAACAAAGCAAAACCCTGCTGTTCATCCCCTGGGGAGGGACACATGACATAAAGGTTCTTTCCCACCGTAAATCTACTGAGGCTCCTGTGTCCCAAAGCCATACTTCATTACCTGACTGTTTCTAGAGGGTGGCAGAGCAGTTGCAACCCCTTAGGAACACAAGCAAGTCCAGGAGGAAAGGAGTGAGATCTGATTGTAGGTGACTGAAATACCACTCTGTATCCCATGAGGGATAATCAGTGTGCGGTGACGTCCTGTGCCCAAATCCTAACTGAGTTTTGCCACTGTGAATATTAGTCATAAAGGGCTAAACATTAGTCATAAAGAAGTCAACCATGCCTATTTATTTATTTATTTTCATGGAATCAATCAAATTTCATTATTGATTTAATTATAACAGCCCAGTAGACAGTACTTTTTTAACGTCTCACACTTATCTTTTTTTTTTTTATCTTCCTAGTGTACCTGCTATATCAAGAGTAAATACTACAATATATTACTTTTTACTGCTTCTCTGTTCAGCAAAGCAGTGAGCTGGTCACAGAAATTGCCAGGAATTAAATTACTGTTATATTCTCCAGCTCAGAGAAGGATCGCAAGACACCATCAGGTTCTGCTGTTATTTGTCCAGCTTACTATAGCAAATTATGACTTATTGCATCAGCACTGGCTTGGGAGCAAAGCAAACATCTGTGTCTGCAGAGGCGCTCACCGTGGGAGCAACCGTCTAAGAGTGTCATTACAGCACACACTGTCACCTCGTCCATTTTCCAAGCCTGCCTCAGGAGAGGGCTTCCAGAATTCCCATACATGTCTACCATACCTCTCTGTGGGTACCTCAAGCCACTAGGTGTGTTAGGAAAAATAAAAGGGGAATCCAACAGCAATGGAAATCGGAAAGGGAACATTTGCAGCTTCACTTGCTGCAAACCAGAAAGTCTGATCCCTAAGCAATGTCACTGAAAGGACCTGCAGCTTGAGGAGTTACAGCTCAATAGTGGTCTAAGGACACAAGCAAGACAGGCTTGTATGGGGAAGTTTTTTTTTTTTTTTACTAAACTACTTACAGAATTTTTTTTAAAAAAAGGCAATATAAGCTTTCAGAAACACAAACACTTCTTCATACTCCTGAGGAAAAACCTTGTCTGATCTTCTAACCTCAGACAGATAAAGGACTTCGCACAGGCATTCCCTTTCACTGCCAATATGTCAGTATGCAGAGCATATTCAAAAGAGCGAAAGAAAATCTTTTCCCAAGACAATCCATGTTAACATAGTAAATATAGCCTTTTAAAGCGTCTGTTTCAGTAAGCAAATAAAAATAACGTGCTATAAAGTCTTCCAACACTTTAACACAAACTAATACACAGAACTCCAACTCAGATTCTTTAGTGACCACTACAGGATAGAATTTCAATAAATGTGTTACATTTCATAATGTTTTATTTCAGTGTTAAACTATGAATAAGATAATACTGCGTATTTACCATGCCTGTATTTGCATTTCATTTTCCACTCAAAATGGAGAAGCATGCAAGCTTTCTAGTTTTATCTAGTTTTATATGCAGAGAATATTGAAAAGGGCTAACACACAAAAACATTTATCATTTCTCTTTAATTTACTTGCTTAGATATTTGCTAATTGAAATGATTTCAATCATATCAATCCTCTGAAGTTGACTTCATAATTACTTTTTCATCTATGCTATTACTGGTAAGAAAAATGTTTAAATGCAAGAGTTTGGATCATAAAGACTAGCAAAATATATTTTAATCTAAATATATAAAAAAATCTAAGTTTCTGCTAATAGTAGAAAATTAATGGTAATAACGCACATTTTAGTTTTATGTTGAAAAAGAAGACACAAGATATAGCTTCACAAGTAGGAAAAAATACCAAACAGAGGAAAAAATACCAAAGACATATTTGAAGTCAACAGCAGACTGCCTGATAACAATTTTTACATACCCTGTCTTACTTCCACTTTCTGTAATTAAATGTGGTGTCTGACAGCATGTGCTCTGCAACTGTAAACAAAGATCACAGAGCTCCCTGAAGTAACTTATAAATAATGAAATAACCACCCATTCAGATGCCAACACCAGAGAGGCAGATGAACCTTTTCTGCTATATCTTGCACAAGAAGTTCCTTTTGAGTGCCATACCAGCAATGAACAATATTTAAAGCAGACAATTATCATGCCTCTTTTGTTCCAGAGAGCATATCCAAACCTCTCACTTTGCATAAAACGATGCACTGTAGCAAGGCAGAGAACAACTCATACCCCTAGACATTAGCCTCCAAGACCCTCATTCTCCCTGTGGCTGCAGAGCACACGGTGCTGCAGCACACAGGGAAGCAAACATAACCTGAGATTCACTTCACTGAGTCCAGTGCTGCTACACAAAGAATTAATTTATTCAAGACATGTCTTAGCAGTTACACAAGCACTTTTAATGAGTTGGACGTGGACACTGGCTTACCCCCTGGGGTTTTTCTGTAAGCAAAAAGCCTCTCTGCTATCCACAAAAAAAATGTTTCTTATTTTTCGTAAGACTGGCCTTTCATAAGACTGCCATTTGTTCAGGTAAAGGTATGATAATTTTGTTTAAAAAAATAACAATTTGTGAGTCTCATAGATTGCATCCTGATCCCTACATATGGGGAGAAAGATGTAGAGGGATTAGATAGATGTCTTCCCAGAGCACATTCAACACGCGAGGAAGGGAAGGGGATGCTGTAGCCTCGAGGTGCTGGGAGTTGCAGAGGGAGGCGTGAGCCTTCACTGTGCCACCGCAGAGGACAGTAAAGGGCAGCCACAAGCACACGCTGAGTGGCAAGGAGGGGGCAAGAATTAGAGAGCTGTGATACTAAGCGAGGAAAAGAAAAATATAAGAAAACATAAATCTTGATTCAGAGATGGGTAAGATAACTGTCCCCAGTACTGATCTGGCACTGCATCGTGTAGATTTACTAGTTTGAGTCTGTTTTGCTAGCTTTGCATCTCTGAACTTGAAATGTCCTGACATATCAATATTATTCAGACATCACAACACCTGATTCTGCTTTCTGCCCTCCCTGGTTATGTCCAGCAGAGTTCTAAAACCAGTGACAGTTTGAAACCATAATGACCATTTTATGACCGTTTCTTCCCAGCATTTCAAGTTTTTCTTTCTCTCTGATCTGAATGCATATGAAGACTCAAGAAGAAATATGCAATCATTCTAAAGATAATGGTATAAACTTACAGACAGAATTCTTGTGGTTGCTGTCTTTGTTGGGCAACATCTTGACTCCTCTTGATTTCAGTTCGATTGCTTTTTTCACTAAGAAAACAAGGAAACAAAAATAGGATAATTTATTATTAAACAATGTAGAGAAGAAACTGTAGCAGCCAAGTCACACGTGTTGCAACACAAAACAACATAGGACTCTGACAAACACATTGAAGTACTGGCAATCTCCGTGAGAAATGATTTTTTCTTGCAAAAGCATAATGATTTATTATGTATCAGAAAAATACAAGCTCTTTAATTGAGATTATCCACCTTCACAATTTTTGAAGGTTCCTTACAGTCAAACAAAATAAAAATCTGTCCTAATTACTTGTATTGCTTTCCTATCTTTACCACTATGTTAAGGCAAAATTATAAACATATTTGCAACCTATTTCTTACTTAAAATGTACAGTGCATTATCTATGTGTTTCTGAAGACCACAGATTTAAACATAATGTTCACAAAATGTTTTTATTTTATCCATCTTTCACTAGTAGAAATGTTTTTATCCTACTTTCCTAGAGATTAATGTCATATTATCACATGGTGTCACACTGTTTCATTCACTTAACACTTTCTGAATCTACAAGGCAATTTCAATGGAATTTGGAAAGACAATAAGAGCTCTCAAAGACAGAAACTGAGAGAGAGGATCCATTAGAGGTTTAATAACTCTCTTTTTTTTTCTTTCTAAAAACAAAGTGGTCTCAGAAACAAAAGAGACATGAGAACAAACTAATAGAGCTGTGTGCTAAAGAACATATGGGGTAGAATTAGAATTAAATTGCTAGGAGAAAAGCATAAAATATAGGAAGAATTAATCAGAAATTCATTAATTAGGCAGCTTAAGAACAATATGATCAATTAAAAATAAGATAAATACAAAAGAATATGCAAAAAATCTAGGCAATTGTGCAAAAACAATAGCAGTAGCAAAATAGCTTAATAACTGACTCTGTATCAGAATTTAAATGCACCATCATGCATGTAAATAATGAAAAAGCTTGAAAAAGTAAGTTCTTGATTCATAGTAATTTTTTCTTCTGGTGCTTGTAGCATTTAATAATCTTAAAATGTAAACACTCAACCTAGATACAAACGGAAAAAAATCAACTCAAGCACTTATAAAACAGCAATAATTTGCATCAGATACCATATAAGTATGCAAATTAATACAACCAATCATCAGTTATACTTGTTGTCAATATATGACATTTATGCTTGCTATAGGATATTTGCATAGTATGTTTGCATACTTATCTGTATGCAAATACTTGTTAGTACTAAGGTGGTAGGAAGAGCAAGGTAACATTTCTTCGATATTTAATCAAATTTAGAAATTGTGACTTAGAAATTCTTTTTTTTTTATTTTTGATGCTTTCGCTATCTTGAAGTGAAGAAGACTTTTCTTAAGTATTGAAACTGGGCAAGCACTGTATTTTTTTGTTCTGTATATGGACTGTAAGTAAGTGGAGACATTTATGCTAAAACATGGAAAACAGGTGTTCAAACGTTGAAAGATGTTTGAAATGCTGCTGTAGCCAGAAAGAATGAATTAGATTTGATAGTTGTGTACTATGTTCTTTTCCTCTAAGTAAAGAGTGTGTTATGTGGAACTGATCAATGCTTACAGACAGTAATGCTTACTTTCTCAAAAATAAATAACAAACAACAAAACATAGGTATCTGTAGCTTCTTCAAGGATAATGTGTCTGGGTATGTTTTCTTACGATGCTTCCTAGGACTTAGGCACTTACACTACCCTCAAGTTCAGTCTTCTGTTCTCTTTTCTTAGACGGCATTACCAGCCTGATCAAATGATACAGAGACGCAAGTCGTACACCTGAATAGCTGAGAAATTTCTTGGGGTTGTGGTCCCTCCTTCAGCACAAGTTCCACATTTTATCAATATCTGTTTCATGTAAAACACATGAGAAGACATTGGAGCATACAACCCCTACATTGCTTAGATTAGTGAATGAGTGTTATAATCCCTGAGTCACTCATACAGTAGATAGAGAAGAAGAAATAACATCTCTTTGTTCTGTGACTGTATTTTGGGAGGAAAGTGGCAATAACTATTCAGATTTCTCTGGGACTCACTCCTGGAGGTATTAGGTAGACTCAGAGCATGCTTCCTAAGGATGGGGAAAATTACCCTCATGAGCATTAGTTTGAAATTCAGTGGATATAAACTGAAGCAAGTTCTGACTTCATATACGAAAAACTTTTTCGCTATTAGGGTAGTCATTGAAACAGAGCTTTGAAACAGGTTGCCAGAGACATTCTGCAATCTCCTCCTTTGGAGGTTTTTCACATGCCAAGAAAAAGGGAGTCTATAGCTCTCTGACCAAACAGTAGGTATTAATTATACTTAAGATCACTCATTTAAAATATAGGTCTTCCAAGAAGAAATAGCTATTTCAGCTACCTTGTGAGTTAGGGACAATGAATCATCCCCTGAAGGGCCCTTTTTCTCTCCATGAAATGTAATAGAAACATAACCCACTGGCTGAAGCTAAATTGCTACAGTTTAGACAGTGACATCAAGTGAGACATGAGCTTTTAAGTCTAGAGAACTTCACCAGCCAAATTAAGGCATGTTTTACACTTCAGAAATAATGTCTAAAATTAGGAAAGGCATGCTTTGTAGGGTTCAAGAAAGGAACTCTAATGTTAGAAAATGTCAAGAGAGGAATAAAGCACAAAACTAGAATTATCTCATCACAGTATAAATTTGTTGTTCACCATATATACTGACACTTGTGTGCATTTCTCATTCCTGCATGAACCAGAAAAGGTTCAAGAAGGCTGTAAGAGAGGAGGGAAAAGGACCCAGGAAGGTGATAGGAGTAATGGGGGTTCTCGAGATATTGAATGCTCCCTTCTGAGGGATGACTCCCTCAGTTGTACACTAGGATTCTTCAGTCTTGGAAATCGATGGATTGTGGGGAAGGAGGAAGCTATAAAGAGGATCAGGAGTGTCATCAAGAGGCTGCAGAGGCCCAGAGTGTTCCCTTTCATGTTCACTCTAAGAGCTCCGGGTCAGTGAGTGAAGCTAACAAGAGCAAGGCATTCAACTGCTAAAGGAAGTGGTTCTTAATACAACAAGTAAAAGACATGTGAAGCAGAAGACATAGACAAATGTGGTTTGTAAAGTTTCCAAAGATGACTCATCAAGTGCTTGGAAGAGGAGGGCTCTTGGAGTGCTGTGGAGGGCTACTGAGCTGACAGATTACGTTAGGTTCAGGAGATTTCTGCAGCTAAAAATATATGGTGACTGGCAATGCAGTATCAGGGAAATATTATCTTTTTTTTTTTTTTTTCTTTTTCCCTGTGCTTGCTTTCTATAGGCATCTATTTCAGGCCACTTTTGGACACCGACACAGGCCTATACAAATCCTTTAATCTGAATGTTTGTGGCTCTTCTTATGTTCTTATTTTGTCTTTGTGGACAAAATGATGACTTTTCTTTGAGTTCATATTACATTAGCAGACTTTCCTTTAGACATAGCTATATTCCTTTTTATATGTATATATAGCTCTCTTGTATATGGAAGATGAACTTTTTTAAAAACTTGAAAATTTTTGAAAGTGAAAACAGTCATTGATAATATCAGCTTATTATTATCAGCTTATCATTATCAGCTAAATATTCTGGAGCCATAAGTCACATCAGAACAGTGTTTTCTCTATGTTCCTACTTCGCTATCACTCAAATGGAAGATGTCCTACTTTTTTTTTTTTTCTGCTTACTTTAATTTTGTAAGAGTAATTCACAAAAGAATTGCTCACTAATGTTATATTATAAAAACATATTGTAAAAAGCAGCTCATCACAGCAGGGATGCTTTCCTGTAATTCGTATAACAATGATTGTTCTAAACTTATTTTTGTTTTCCCCAGTTTTGTTCTCAAGGCCTGTTCTTTGAAAACTGCCCTTCCAATTTCAGGTGCATTTCAAATTCCTCTACCAATTGCTCTGTTGCTGAAGATAGTCATATCTGAATATTTCATTTCTTACATTAGTTTGAAACTATATTTGTTGTGTTTTAGTTTTCCAAAAGCAATATCAATATTTAAATATTAATATCTTATAGTTCTTTTTCATTTATTCCAGAGCCTGTTTAGTTATTACACTACATTCTGAAGCAAAGATGTTTCACCTGCATTTGATGTCTAATCTTTGATGCCTTCGTACTGTGGGCTATTGTGTTCTTGCATTCTATGGTGCAATTAATTCTTATCTGAATTTATACTTGGAAATGCACTGGGAAAGATCCTACAGAGTGCTGACAGAAGTCTGTCCTCTCAAATTTAGAAAAGATTTTGAATTTTCTCAGAGAATGTTGTCTCCTGGGACCATAATGAAAACCTTTCTGTGTTTGCCTTTACTTCCATCGTAAAAATGTCTCAAACTCAAAAAAACTAACTCGAAAAAGAAAGCTCAATAAAGATTAAAAAAATAAACTCAAACTAGAAATAAAATAATTAATATAAAACCTTTTTAAATAAGATTATAATACACTGTTACACATACATCCTACACATTTAGAAATTTACATTCAAACGTGAAAATAACTGGAAAAGAAACTGAACTACAAAATTATCCAGAGAAATGTCTCTTTTTTTTTTATTAAAGGCTATCCTCTGGATAAGTTAAAAAATGCCTCCAAAGCAAATAAACTCAGAAGTGCTTTTGGTACGAATGACATTTGAAAACAAAAATTTCTTCAGAATATTGTCGTTTTCTGTGAGTTCTCAGAGGAAATTAAAGCGGCTTCCCACTGACTCCTGCCTCTTTTATATGCCTACATGTAAAAGCAGTTTCTGGTGTGATGCTCCTTGCTGCTGACTTGGTGAGTTTAGACACAAGTTTAACTAATTTCATGGAACAGCTAAACCAAAGACATAAACAGAAATCCAATAGAAAACAACCTTCAGTCACTGAGTAAGAGATTAATATTACTTTTTTTGTAAGTCAGTAAGGTTTGATAGAATGCCACTAATAGCATCTACTTGATGTATAGTTTAAGCATCCAGGCATAG